GTGTGTGTGTGTGTGCGTGTGGGTGTGTGTGTGGTGGGTGGGGGGGGAAACGAGGGGGTCTGGCCCCGACCCCGCCGGCGGTGATGGCATGCGCGCGGCACGCGAGGTCGGGCGCCGCGCGCAGGCGATCGCCGCTGTGGGGGTCGGGGTCGGCCGTGGGAGGAGGCCAAGAAGGCGGCTCCCGCGGCCCAGCGGCGGTAGCGGCCTCCCTTCGTCGCTCCTGCTGCCTGGCACGTTGCCTCGACCTTGGCGATCTCGTTCGGGGACTTGATCAGGCGCAGGCGCTTGATCACGTCGCCGCCGTCGACGACGGAAACGCCGACCGAGGAGAGGTTGGCCTGGACGCGCTGGACGATGGGCCAATTTTCCACCAGCACCACTGCCACATGTAGGAAGAGGATCTCCTCCTCCTCCTCCTCCTCCACCTCCTCCTCCTCCTCCGCCTCCTCCTCCTTTTCCTGCCCCTCCTCCTCCTCCTCCTCCTCCTCCTCCTCCTCCTCCTCCTCCGCCTCCTCCTCCTCCTCCTTATACTCCTCCTTCTCCTCCTCCTCCCCCTCCTTCTCCTCCTCCTCATCGTCCTGCTCCTCCTCCTCCTCCTCCTACATATGGCAGCGGTGGTGGGAAATGGGCCCATCACTGGAAGTCGGTGGCCGGCATCCGCAGGACCATGTGGTCGCCGAGCTCGGCCCCGACGCGCCCGTGCCGCGGCACCGTATCCGCGAGCACCTGCTGCAGCAGGGACACCCCCTCGTCCTCCGGCCGCGGCGAGGGCCACGTGAAGACCCTGTCGACATGCGACCTCCTCAGAAGACGAGAAGCTAAATGAGCACAATCTTCTGGAGCGACGCACGCATTTCTTGGATGGGGACTGGCCTCCCAGGGGCGCCGCTGGCGCCGCCCCTGGTGCGCTCCGCGCGCCAAGGGTGGTCCAACGCCAATCGAAGAATTTCGCGCGGACCTCCAGAAATTTGTGCTTCTGCCTTTGTTAATGTTTCGACTCCTGAAGCCATCATCACCGATGGTCGGCACCACTGCCGTGACATTTCCATTGACCGCAACCACCAGGAACCAGGGTCGAGTGGGCGACTGCCAGAAGGGCGAGTGGTACCCGCTGAAGTAGCGAACATTCGCCTCCGTCGTCAGCAAGAGCGCATCCAAACCAGCCTCGCGCATAGCCCCCTGTGCCCGAAGGATTCGTGACTGCACTTCCTGCTTGGAGTCGCCGCGAAACCACACCAAGGCCTGCTCGCCTTTGTCAACATGCGTGATAGCACCAGCTAAGACTCGAAGACATGCCAAGACCGTCAGAAGCAGCGCTGTGGCTACCGCCGTCATCCCTCAAAAAGATGCGGGCAACGGTGCTGCACCGTCCAAAGCCTTGCAAATGGCTTTGTAATAAGCACGCTGCCTTGAGCCGAAGGACGGGTGAGACAAGCAAGTCCACTCCGGGAGGCGTTGCAACTGGAACCGTGTCCTATTCGCCACGGCCGTCTGGTTCAGTTGTAAGCTTTGCCAGTGGATGCCTATCACCACGACCCCATCACAGAGAGTCGTCCCGCATAAAGAATCGACACAAACACGAATTCGACTACCACATTTCGCATCACGACTGGGCAAATCGGAAAGACACTTGCACAATGGCTGTGCGATTTGGTACCATGGGCTGACCAGGACGTCCCGAGATTGGGCGGACGACGCTCTGTGACTGGGCAGTGAGCGGGGGCAGCTGTGCTCGCAGCAGCAGGCACGAGGCCTGGAGCTATGACAGGGACGGGAGAGAGGGTGGGGATGAAGAACGAGAAGCAATGGGACGCAATGTCACGCGGACCTACCTACTGGGCCCTACCATTGAGACCCGAGGAAGAGCTCCCACCCGTGAGGATTTCCATGGACTCTTGAATGGCCTTCGGAGGGGTGCCCTGGTGGTTTGGGAACAGACCCTTGGAAATCCGCGAGGGAGAAGGAGAAAGGGGGAGAGAAAGAGGGGCGAGAGAGATATAGATATAGGGGCACACGGCAAGGAAGAGTACATAGGCAAGGACGACAAGGAACATTACATTCTGGGTCACGACAGTGAACACCTGATGTCTACATAGATGTGCAGAGCGAGGAGGAGAACGCTGTGGCAACAGAAGAGGATAATGAGTGAGAAGATGCGGAAGTTGAAGAAGAAGAAGTAAAGGGGAGGCAGATCATACTGTCTGTATAACGGCAAAGTGAATGCGGAGGAAGCATGGTGAGGGAGCAAGAGAAGGAGGATGAAGAAATAAGAAAGACTGTGTTCTACCGCTGCTGGCGGAAAACCCGGAAGGGTCATGGGGGTTCCCAACCCGTCCCCCCCCCTCGAAAACTGGGGGGGTGGGTCACTACCGGTTCGTGGGGGCACTGGTGGGGACAGCGGGGACAATAGTGGGAACAGTGGGGACAGTGGAACAGTGGTGGGGGCGGTGGTAGTGGGGACAGTGGTGTGGGGACAGTGGGAATGCGGTGGAAACGGTGGGACAGTGAAGGGTAGTGGCGGTAGTGAGGGCGGTGGCGAGGACGGCGGTGGGATAACATGACAGAGGTGCAGTGGGGACAGTGGTGGGGACAGTGGGGACAGTGGTGGGGACAGTGGGACAGCTCAGTGGGACAGCGGCGGGGACAGTGGGACAGTGGGGACAGTCGGGCAGTGGTTGGGGCCGTGGAGAAAGTGGGGAGACTGGAACCGTGGTGGGAACAGTTGTGGGGACAGTGGGGACAGTGCGACAAGTGGTGGTGGCACTGGTGGGGACAGTGGGGACGGTGGTGGGAACAGTGGGGACAGTGGTGGTGAGGACAGTGGTGCTGGGGACAGCAGTGTGGGGGATGTGGTGCGGACGGTGGTAGGGACCCAGGAGTCTCTTGCTGGCGGTGAGCGTGGGGAGGGGGGTGGGGGGGGGGTTCGAAACCGGTAGTGACCCCCCCCCCGATTTTCGAGAGGGATTCGAACTGGTAGTGACCCCCCCCGGTTTTCGAGGGGGGTGGTTCGAACCGGTAGTGACCCCTCCTGGTTTTCGGGGGTTCGAACCGGTAGTGACGCCCCCCCGATTTTCTGAAGGGGGGGGAGGGGTTCGAACCGGTAGTGACCCCCCTCTGGATTTCTGGGAGGGGGGAAGGGGTTCGAACCAGTAGTGACCCTTCCCGGTTTTCCGGAGAGGGGGGGAGGGTTCGAACCGGTAGTGACCCTTTCCAGTTTTCCGGAGGGGGGGAGGGGGGGAGTTAGGGGAGGGGTGGGGGGGGTTTGCCGGGGGCAGGGGGGGGGTCCAGCAGGGGGGGGATTTTCGGAGGGGGGGGGGACCCCCCGGTTCCTGAGAAAGAGGGGGGGGGGAATTTTCCACAGTAAAGCGGCGGTGGATCACGCTCTGGAGGCTGGAGACAGGAGGGAGGAAGAGGCAGGATGAGGGTGGAGGGAAGGTGCAGGGGGGGGGAGAACTCATCAGGCAACCAGGAAAACATAAAGGACCACAGGAGCAAGAAGACGACACACAGCAGGCGAGCGCTGTCCCCCAACCCAGACAGCGATTGCCGCTCCGAGCTCGCACTCCTGTTGCTGAAGTAACTCATTTGACGCAAAGGCCAGAGATTTCTGCGTGGCCGTCCCGTGCCTTCTCGTCGGCGCTCGTGGGTGTCCCACCGTGCTAGACGAGCGCGGTCCACCACTCGCAGAGTGACTGCTCGGAAATAGCCTGGTTCCGCTGGGGGGGATCTGCGAAACATTACATCGAATCAAACCTGTGTTTTTTCGGACGTTTGCGAGTAGGCTTAGGTCGGGCGTGTCCCGCTACAGGCGGATTTGGGACGAAACATAAAATTTGTCAAAACATACTCAAAAACATAAAAACATGTTTGTATATTCCTCCTGTAGAAGGACGTGCCCGACGTAAGGGCAGGCACTCTGCGAGTAATTGAACGCGCTCGGTGACGTGCGCGGGGTCGGCCGAGGTTGCGCCACGCTGCTGCTCGTGCCGGCGCCCGTGGACGCTCGTGGGCCCCGGGCTGGGTCGGGCCGCGGCGGCGCCACGCTGCCGCCCCGCGCCGCCTCGCGGGCGCCCCGTGGGCGCCCCCGTGCGCTGGGCGGCTTGCCAGAAGGGGGTGGAGGGAGGGGGGCGGGGGCTTCCTGGAAGGAGGCCGCTCCTTCGGAGGCGCCGGCCTCGCATCTATATAGCTGAGGCCCGCGCCCTCTGAGAAGCAGGGGGGCTTCTAAGAGGCCCTCCCCCCTCCCCCCCCACCCCCCGCCCTCTTCGGCTATACGTAAGAGTGACCCTGGGTAAGAGTGACCTTTGGTGCGCGGCTTTTGGGGGGCCGCGGGGGGACCAAACCTGGGCGCGCAAGCAGCTGCCGCTGCTTCGTTCTGGGGATCCACCTGTGCCCGCACCAAAGGTCACTCCGGCGAAGGGTCACTCTTACGTCTGATCGACTTCTGCTCGTGGCCGAGCCACGTTGCCGTCCCGCGCCGCCCTGCGAGCGCCCCATGGGCGCCCCGTGCAATGGCCGGGTCGGCGGAGGTTGCGCCACGCTGCCGCCCGTGCCGCCTCGCGGGCGCCCCGTGGGCGCCCCGTGGGTGCCCCGCGCGTGGGGCGAGCCGGCCGGGACTGCGCCACGCTCCTGCCAATATATAATGCAATGTCCAACAATATAATATAATGTAATATGGTATAACATTATATACTATAATGTAGTATGATATGATAAATTGTAATACAATATAATGTCATATGATATGATGTAATATTATATAACATAATGTGAAGTCATATACTATAATGTAATACAATATGATGTGATATAATGTAATGTTATATAATGGAATATGATGCAGTGTAATATACTATAAAATTATAGTATATACGATCATATGAAAGAATGTAATATGTTATAATATAGTATGCTATACTATAATATGCTATGGTTTAATATGATATAATGTGATACGGTAGAACACCATACAATATACTAGAATGCAATGATATTACGTAATGTAGTGTGATATAAACTATTATTATATACTATATTATATTATAGTATGTTACGTAGTATAATATAATATATTGTCATATGATATAATGTAACACAATATTACATTATGTTATATCATGTATATACTATAGACTACTATAATAGAATATAGTATACTATAATATTATATAATATACTATAGAAAAATATAAAGTACTAAAACATAATATGATACAATATACTATAGTGTGATAAAATATAGTATACTAGAATATAGTATAATATAATAAGCTAAAAATAATATAATATAGTATCGCATACTATTATATATATATATATATATATAAAAATCGCCTCGTGGGCGCCGGTGGAGGCCCCAGCACGCTGGCCTTACGCCGCAGATCTTGCACCGCACAGCTTGCACGCCCTGGCTCGCACCACACAGCTTACACATCGGAGCTTCCCCGGTATACCCTCAACCACGTCGCTTGCACTGCAAAGCTTCCACGTCGAGATCACACCACATGTATTACGTACACGGACAGCTTACTGCGCATAGCCTCACCTCCATAGCTAACACCATACCTTACGCCACATAGGCTATGCCACACAGCTTACACCGCATGGCGTCCGCCTCCAGTGTCAAAAAATCACTGCTGGGGTGCCACGCTGGCTAACTCATTCGGAGTATTCGCGATAACGTCACTGCCCCCCCTCCCCCCCTCCTGCTCGGGTTCCCCCAGGGCCGTAGGCGACCCGAGAAGCAGGAGGAGGAGGAGGAGGAGGAGGAGGAGGAGGAGGGGGAGGGGGAGGAGGAGATGGAGGAGGAGGAGGAGGAGGAGGAGGAGGAGGAGGAGGAGGAGGGAGGAGGGGAAGGGGAGGAGGACATGAAGGAGCAGGAGGAGGAGGAGGAGGAGGAGGAGGAGATGGTAGTGGCAGGAGGAGGAGGGAGGAGGAGGAGGAGGAGGGGAGGGGGGGAGGAGGAGATGGAGGAGGAGGAGGAGTAGGAGGAGGAGGAGGAGGAGGAGGAGGAGGAGAGGAGGAGGAGGGGGAGGGGGAGGAGGACACGAAGGAGGAGGAGGAGGAGGAGGAGGAGGAGGAGGTGGGGAGGAGGAGGAGGAGGAGGAGAAGGAGGAGGAGGAGGAGGAGGAGGGGGAAGAGGAGGAGGAGGAGGAGGAGGAGGAGGAGGAGGAGGAGGAGGAGGACGGGTCGCCTAAGCCCTTCGGAGAAACCCTCCGCCCCCTCCTCCGCCCTGTGCGAATGGTGACGTCTTGACTCGGTTCTCCGGAGGGCCCAGCAGAAGGACCTCCGGCGACCTCGGTCCCGAGAGCAGGGCCTCCGAAGAGCCCTCTGCGGGCCTCCCGAGGCCTCCCGACGTCGTCGGCGGTCGTGGCAGCTGTCTGCGACGTCGGAGTCACTCCCAGACGCCATGAGAGAGCGAATGTTCGCGGTACTAGGGGAACGAACAGTGACATGAACATAAGAACTCGGAGGTTCGCGCGGATTTCTTGGATCCGCGCTGGACCCCCCCCCCTGGCGCGCGGAGCGCGCCAGGGGCGGCGCCGGAGGCGCCGCCAAGGGGCCCCAGCGCCGATCCGAGAAATCCGCGCGGGCCTCCGAGTTTTTATGTTTATGTCATTGTTCGTTCCTCTCGTTACCAGCGCCACAGCAACAATCAAATCGACTTCAGAGGATAGATGGAGTACAGAGGAGAAAAGGGGGAAATGGACGGAGCTGGACGGTGGAGGGAGGAGAGGATCGAAGAGAGGGTAGAGGGCGGAGGACGGAGAAAGGAAGAGGGAGGAGGGAGGGAGGAGAGAGGAAGGTGGAGTTGTCAGCGAGGTGTCTTGTCACGTGCTCTGCCGGCTTGGCCTCCTCATCACGCCTCCTGGGCCTCTGCCTCGTCCTTCTTCTCCTTCTTGGCCTTCTTGGCTGGCTGGCTCGCCGTGCCGAAGAACTTTGCCTTCTCCTCTGCCGTCTGGAAGCGGCCGTGGCCCATCTTGGATGACGTGTCGATGAACTTTAAGGCGATCTCCTCCATCGCCTTGCGCTTCACCTGCGGCAACAGAGACTTCCGGAGCGTGATCACGCGCTTGCGGGTGCCCACGACGCCACCCTTCACCATGACCCAGTCCTCGTTCACCTCGCCGTAGTGGGAGAAGCCACCCAGGGGAGTGATGCCCTTCTCAGTCAGGTCGTTCTCGGTCGTGGCGCTGTTGGGATCCTCCTTGACGTTCTTGCCGATGCGATAGATCTTCTTGTTGATCTCTGTCCGGTGTCCGTACCCCTTCTGGCCGGATCGAGGCACCTGGAACTGGACCCTCGCTGGGTGCCAGGTGCCGATGCACGCGACCTTGCGCAGGCCGCGGTGGGACTTGCGCGCCAGCCGGGTGACTCCCCAGCGCGTGACGACGCCGTTGAAGCCGCGGCCAGCCGAAACACCAATGCAGTCCACCATCTCGCTACACTTGAACACATCTGCAACCTTCACTTCCTGCTCGAACAAGCCCATGATGTAGTCGACCTTCGCCTCGGCGGTGCCCCCGTTGATCTGGATCTCCTTGATGACGGCCTTCTTCGCGCCGATCTTCACCTTGGTGACCTGGGTATGGCAGATGGCCCGGATGACCTGGCAGTACTTCTTGGCGCGCGCGACCTCCGCCGCCATGGGGCCCTCGCCTCCGCCCTTGGAGGCCTCCTCCCACTTCTTGCTGTACTTGGTGAACGCCTTCTTCTTCGACTTGTGCCACGCCTTGTAGAACCGACGCCTGCACTCCTCGTTCAGGTGGCCGGCCCACACCGTAGTGAGCGCGCGCAGGCCGCGCGGCGTCTCCACGTACCCGACGAAGCCGACGACCACCATCGGAGGAGCCTCGAGGATGGTGACGGCCTCGGCCACCTCCTTTTTGTGCAGTTTGGATCCTGGCCTGTCCACGTCGCGGACGATATGGGTCATGCCAGCCTTGTATGTCATGAAGGCGGTCAGGTGCGGCGGCTTCTTCTCGTCATCCTTGGGGAAGCTCTTAATCTTGCCGAAGTGGTGCTTGGTGCGCTTGCGCGGCAGGAAGCCCAGGCTACCGCACCTGGGGTGCTCGAACTTGCGGTGGGACATGGCCGCGAGCGCCCCTGATCAGACCTGCCTGGACGGAGCTGGACAACTGCTGCTCTCCTTCTCACCGTCTTGAGCCAGGTCGGCTTGGGAGCGAAAAGGTGGCAGATAACTAGCAAAACGAGATGGTGGACATGAACAACGATACTGATGGGGGAGGAGGGAGAAAAGAGGAGAGAGAAGTAGCAGGCAGGAGGCATGAGCGATGAACGAAAAATGAGGAAGGCGAGGGCAGATGGTCGATGGAGGAGACAGGAGATGTAGAGGCAGGAGGCGAGAGGCAAAAAGCAGGACGGAGAAGAAACGTCGGGGGAACGGGAAAGAGGAGGGAGAACGGGGCAGGGCGGCAGGGAGAAGGAAGTCGAGAGGAGGCTCGGGGCAGGACGGACAAAGGAGGAGGTCGGAGGGTGGAGGCGGGAAAGGGAGGAGGGACGAGGTGGGAGGAGGCAGGAGAGAGAAGGGACGATGGAAAATGGAGAACAGACGGATGATGACAGACGGTGGAGGGAGGGAGGACGGGGGGAGGAATGCCCACCGAACTGCTCAAATGGTAAAGGACCCTCGGGGCCGAGATCCCCCTTATCGAGCGCCACCACCCCGAGGGGCCTCAAGGCCAACGCTCTCGAGGTCGGCGGGCCAACGCCCCAGAAGGGGGGACGCCTGCATGCTCGTCCAAGCGCGGCGGCACTGCGTTCCCCCCAAGGCCGTGCCCTAGCGCTGGGCAAACCCCGCAGCACCCCGCCCTCGAGCGGCATGCCGCAGGCGGGACAGGCCACCAGAGCGGTCGGGCGGGCTAGGCGGGCTCGACCTGCGCAGGAGCCCGCTGGCAACCCGCGGGTTCCAGCGCGACCCGGCGGGGGGGAGGGAGGGGAAGCAGAGGGGTTAGGGGAAATAGGAAAGGCGCCTCGCCCATCAGCGATAAGGCAACCTCCCAGGCGCGGCCCCTCTGCCAGGCTGGGGTCCGGCGCACGGCGCGCAAGGAGAACAGGGACGAACGGAAGCGAGGAGGAGGAGGAGGAGGAGGAGGAGGAGGATGCCGAGGGAAAAGCGCGGGGGGGCACCAAGGGGGGCAAGGGCGGGAGAAAGGCGGCGTCGGGGGCGATGCTCCCAGGCCCACCCCCCAACCCCCACAACCCCAAACAACCGCGTCGGACTGTTTCGGTGCAGTCGGGCGGGCAGGGCAGGCAGGGCAGGCGCCTCGGCACGACCGGCCCATCCCCCAACCCCCCACCACCCCAAACAACCGCGCCGGACTGCTTCGGGGCAGTCAGGCGGGCAGGGCAGGCAGGGCAAGCGGCCTCGGCGGGGGACCTCAGGAGGCGGCGGCGGCGGCGGAGCTGCGCAGGGACTCCGTGCAACCCGGAGTCAGGCAGAGCGATCGAGTCGTTGCCCGATCTTCTGAAGGCTTTGACCTCGGGCCTATAGGGCAGCGGCCTCGCCCGAGCGTGCCCGGCCAAGCACGCCAAAGGGAGCGGCGGGCTCAACCGAGGCACTGGGCGCACCTCGCGCCTGCTCCTCGTCCAAATCGGGGTCGAGCTACGCGAAGAGGTCCCGGGCCTTCCTCTCCAAGGTTCCCCGGGGGGCCTGGCCGAAGTACTGCTTGCATTTCATACCCCGGAGGCCTGGGCGATTCGGTCGTTTTCCTGCTCGGCGTCGGAGGCCGCTGGAGGACCAGGCAACATCCCCGTCCCTCATCACTTCCTGTTCCTGCCGCATCTCCTCCCAAAGGAGGGAAGGGCAGGGGGGCAGTCGAGGGGGGGGGAGGAAGTCTCGCGGATGCAGGTGATGAGGTGACCCAGGCGCGCAGAAAGAAAGCGACCGCGCCAAGAATCGAGGGAACTCGGCAAAAAAACAGCATGGTGGTGCATGGTGAAAGACCGAAGCCGGAACAGAGACCGTCGTCAAGGCTGTCCCCGAGCAGGGGGGCAGGCGAGGGGGGGGCAGGCAAGATGGGGAAGGATGGGTGGTTCGATTCGATTCGATCGCCATGGAGAACTGGTCAAGTCAGGGCACTGTGCATCTTCAAATCACAGGGAAAGGGGCGCCCGACTATGGCGTGCGTCCCCTCGACAGTCGGCTCAAAACCTCCGCCCCCGCCTTGGAGGGGCCATGAGGCGGGCACTCTTTGCCCAGCTGGCGTACATTCACCGTGCCGAAACTCCCACATTTAGTACAAAACGAGACGCCACGTACGACCGACAACATGTGTGAGGTGTGCACATACGCGTAAAATCCATGATGCACCGGGTCATTCGGGGCCAAGGCGCAAGCCCTACAGCACGGCCCTGGCCAAAAGAAAACAAGCTGGCCACGGAGAGGGAATCTGCGGGCGCAAACCATGCATGCGAAGTGGCAGCCCCTCTTGCGGGGCTCGTGCACTGCAGCTCGGAGTCGCTGTCTGCGGGTGTCAAACGCAGACGTCGCACAGGGTCTAGGAGGGGGCCGTCCAATGAGCGCAGCCCCTCTCCTAAGGCACGACACGGCAACCTCCATAGTAAAGGCGAGGAGGCGGCCCAAGACACCATGGGTCAATGCATCAATTCACTGGATGGACTGGAATATATAATCGGGGAGAGCACGCTGCTGCGCAACCCACACAGCAAAATAGTCGGCACACCAGTTCAAAAAATGCTCATCCCTAGAGATCTCGTGCAAATTCTGTTTTTTCAAAGGAGGTGTGAGACTTAGTCCAAAGAGCGGTGATCCGATCCGACGGCCATCATCGATCTCACCCCAAATCAAGATCCACAAATCAAGCGTGGTCGTCGCACTGTTGACCTGAACTCGCGGCTTGCGCAATGCCCGTGCGTGAGGGAAACAAGTCGATGTATACCACGATGGCCCCCGACGTGTGCCCCAACAACAAGAGAAATGCATACAATTCAGCACGTGGACCACCCCGAGCAAGCGTAGGCAACGCACCGCACATGATCGCGCAAAGGCGTAACTCACCATCATCCTGGTTACCATTGTTTTGTTCAACCTCTTCGAAATCTTCTTGGGGGCCCAATGGAGGCGCCAATTGAACCATAGCCTTGGTACGTCGACGAATGCGAACATCCTTCGCATGGTGGCCCCAAGGCCCATCAATGCCGAATCGTCCAGTGAAATTTGCGTTGACATAGGTAACGACCCCAGCCCCAGGCGAGGTTCTGAGGAGGTGGGGCGCGCCCAGCGGTATCTTTCGAGCTGGGCAAGCCACGGGTCCAGAAAGCAGAATCGGGATCGGCGGCGAAAGCAGGTTGCCTCGAATCATTCGTCGTCAAGGTAGCTGCAGACTGAATGTGACCACTGCTCGGACAGTTCCAACAACGATGGCGCCTGGTCCCCAGCTCATCTGCACATCTCGGGCACCTGCCTGTCGTTAAACAGCCTGCGCCCCGCAGGCGCGCCTCGGGCCGGCAAGCACCAGAGACAGTAGTGACTGACATGGCTGCGCGCTGTCTGTCGAGATCTTTTCGGGGGCGGCCAAGAGGGGGGCGTCCAAGAGGAGGGGTGCAAATCATGGCCGCCGACACGTGCGCGGCCCAAGGGGGGGGGGGCCAGGGACGTAATGAAATGAAAAGAGGCGCCATGAAATCTGGGGAAATATCACGGCCCACGCCATGATATCCCCCCCCCTCGTCATCACTCCCTCTCTTCCGCCCCCGATTTAAGGAAAGACTGATGGAAACGTCGGAACACCGTCAGGTCGGGCACAGACTCCAGGCCTCGCCCGCAGTAGCGTTCAGAAGCCTTGCGCCACGCTTGGGCAGAGGCCGCAGCACGACGGCGCGTCACGTGAAAGCGGACACCAAGATAGACGAGGCGAAGGGGAGGGGCATCCGGGATTTCCCGCAGATCTACCTTCCGAGGCAACCACCCAAGATCAAGTAGGGTAAAATAGGTAGCGCTTAATGGACCAGTGGCATGACTCCAACGTTGGACAAGAGGAAGAGAGTCCAACTTAACAAGACGAGCCCACCCCCAATTCGCGCCATTCTGACTGCCAGACTGTAGGGAAGACCAGACATCACCCAACATCGACCATGATCCAGCGCGGAATCGGTAGACAGGGTCATCGTTATACGGGTGGAGCAACCGGGGGACGGCCGCAGTACAAGCCCCAGAGCCCCAGAAGCCAGAACAGAGTGCCGCAGACGCTCTGAACCGCCTGATTTCCCCACGAGGCAGGCTCAAGACATTGTGGCCCCAAAGAGCCGACCAAGGACAGACCAGGCTTAAACACCTTCCTTGATTTGCCGCACAAGGGCGCCAGGTAATTGAGCTTGCGGGATCGGCGGAAGGCGATGGCTCGGCGCAGCCTCAACTTCCAATTGCATCATCGCTTCACCGCTGTAATGGCCCCGCCGAAATATTTTACGCGCGGGGCGAAAGGCAAGTCGATTCGAACAAGATGAAGTGCGGCGGCAAGAGACCTTTCCACTTCCTTACTTGGCGCAACAGCGCAAGACTTGGGAGAGATAAAGCACCCGATGCCCCGCACATCGTCACGGAAATTGAGCACAGCCCCAAGGACATAACGCGTCAGGAACTTCGGTGCACCAAGCAAAAAACGGGCGACATCGTCTACATGCGTCCTACCAGGCACCCTGAACAGAGGTGAAGCAACCGATGCGCAGGGAGATTGAGACAGCGTGGCGGGCATGCGATAGTGGGCTCTCCCCAGCACATCATACAAATAGCACTTGACCCATGGCGTGCTCTGTGCACATCCAGCAAGCATTGACGCCCCCGCGCAGGGAAAATCAAAGAGCATGCCATTCACCTCCAACGCCCTCGGGGCAGCGCGGATAAGCAATCCAGGAGGCAACAGGCACGACGGGCAGTTATGCTTCGCGGCAAAATGCGCGAGGCGGGCCGGCGACGCCGAATCGAATGCGCCTTTCACTTTCCAATGGGCCGAGACCGACAACATCCCCGAGGAACGCGCGACTTCATGGCAAACCTGAAGATGCAAGGTGGCGTGTGATGCAGAGGGGCCATGGGCCGCTGTGTACCAATACTCAAGATGGGACTCGTTCCAATTGTCGATGTCGAAACCTTGGGCCTTGCAGTAGATGCGACATATGGCAGGGCACTTCGCGATGACCCTCTCAT